TATATATATATATATATTTATTTATTTATGTGTATATGCGTATATTTATATGTATATATTTATTTATATGCGTATATTTATATGTATATATATATTTATTTATTTATTGCTATTCTTGCAAAATCATGTACGTTAAAAAAAATTGTAACAGAATCGGAAGTGCGACAAAGACATGTTATGATATTTCGAAGCATTGTATCACAATCGCATATTTTATCTCGATAAAAAATTTTTTATGCATGAATATGTATAAATATGTATAATATACATAAACACGCATAAATATTCATAAACATGTACAACTATATGTATATGAAATATGTCCATACATGTTCATACATTCTTCTTTCTTTTGTAAAAAATTATTTTTTAGTGTAATAGAAATAATAATATATGAAAACATAAAAAATAATTAAAAAAGTAATTTTCGCACAATTTGTTTTAAAAAAAATTAAGTTTAAAGAAATGTAAAAAAATTATTTATGTATAATTATATATGAAATTATGCGTAATTATGTATGAGCAATTTTTTTTACATTTTTCCAAATCTTTTTTTTCTAAAACAAGCAATACGAAAATTATCCCTTTAATTATTTTTTATGTTTTCACATTACTATCATTATTTCTATTACACTAAAAAGTAATTTTATAAAAGAAAAAAGGATGTATGGACATATTTCATATATAATTATACATGTTTATGAACATTTATGCGTGTTTATGTATGTTTATACATATTTATACATATTAATGAATGAAAAATTTTTTACCGGGATGTATACACACACACACACACACACACACACACACACACACACACACCCCACATATCCATACTTATCTCATGTACATGTATATATACAAAACAAAATTATAAATACAAGATATATATATGTATATATGAGATTCATCTATGTGTGGATATTGTATAATTTTCCCATTTCCGACAGTAGATTTGATCATTGCCGATGTATTTTTTCGTTAACTTTTTAGTGTATTTTAAATAACTATAATTATGTTTAATATTCAATTTTGGATTAAATATATATTCTATTTTAATATTTTTAATATCAAATGGATATATATCGTAATTTTAAATTTGTAATTTTGAATTTGTAACGTCTCAATCTAAAACGGTTGAGCCGTTGCGAGTTTCGATGCACACTTCACTCAATGTTGTTTGTTTTGTTCTCGTCTGTATTATAATCTAAGGGCATTCGAAGATTTAAGTTGTGTGGACAGTAGACGTGATCATATGAACGCCATTTTCAGAAGAGAGAAGAAGAAGAAGGGTAGTAAATCTAGTGTAGGATTGTATAGATTTGTGCCAATTTGTGTGGTACGTGTTTATCGTTTCATGTGCAGTATTCTAAATGGATGCGATAAGTAATATATGTGTGTGCGTGTATTTCTATTTACTTTAATATTTGTAGGTTTTACTCGTAAACATGGAATCGGGATATATAATAAGGAATAACGCAAGGATTACTGCGAAGGATATACCAAATTCAAGTGCATCATTAGACTGCATTTGTTATAGACCACATTCTCACATTATATGCAATGGTTGTGGATTTTGGACTAAAGGAAGAGTAAGATACTGTTGTCCTCAACATCCTAAGGTTATTATTTTATTCGTATTAATATTTCATGTCTTTTTGTCTCTTAATCTTACTTTATAGTTGAAAACATAAAACAATATTATTATATATAGGGTCGGTTGTTCCATCTTCAGGTAAATTATGCGGTAGTTTATTTATTGGATAAGCAAAAGAGTAAAAGAATAAGAGTATAAAAGAATAAGGCTGGGTTGTTCCACCTTTCGATAAACTTTAGCTCTTACTCTTTTTATGCTCTGATTCTTTACTCTTTACTCTTTTGTTTATGCAATAAATAAATTACTATATAGTTCAACTGAAGATTAAACAATCGACCTTATAAGAGAGCAAGACAGTGAGCTGAAGTTTACCGAAAGGTTGAACAACTCAGCCTTAATCGATAAGTTTAAATAATATGTTATTAATGTGCTATCATACTGGTATTATTATCCTCAACTTTCTCTTATTTTACAGATTGTTTTTCTACACGATCATGCTCAATGTCCACGCTGTAGGAGCTATGACTTTATGCTTAAAGAGATCTAAAATGAACATGACTATTTTGTCAGACGAGTTAAAGTTACAAATTAGACAAAGATGCTCAACCGTTTCTATTGTTCAAATTAGACGAGTTAAACATAAGTAAAATAGTTAAGTTAAAAGTTGATAAATAATTCATTTAAATGAAGTTTATTGTTTTACTATATTGAGTGAACTAGTGAACGAATAAAAATATATGAATAAATATTGTAAGGTGTGATAGTATGGAACAATGATTTATTTGGAAAAGACAGATATTTTCATATATCTATAACAGGTGATATTGAAAGATTTGTGCACTTGTATATGTACATGTTTAAGGTCAGAACTGTCAAAATGTTTAATATCTATATAGGAGTCAAGAATAACTTTATTTTTTATCTTTATCTTTCACAGTGCATTATTAGAATATTAGTATATTATTACAAACAGTACTGGTATCGCAAGAAAGTATTAGTGTTATTCTAAATTCTAAATTATGATTCTTTATAAGCAGGGTAAGTTAATTTTTTCTTTTAACTAAGTTAAGTTAAAGTTAACAACCTTGAAAATTTAACTTAGTTAAGATACAAGTTAATGTATAACGAAATTAATTGAATTAAAAGTTAAGTTAATAAAAAAAAGTAATTGGAAAATTAAAAGTTAAATTTCTTTCTATTTTATGATTTCAGAGTCTTACAAATAACGGAAATGACAAACATATATTTCATTTAGAATATACTCTATATTTTATTTTTAAACTTTTTGTTTATATATACTGTTATATATATATATAT